CAGTTTCACAGAATTTGCACAAATTATGAAAAAAAGATTATTACAGAACCAAAGTAGGGTTTTTGTTAAAGATTAAATTATCTGAGCCAATATATGATAATTTTGACATTAGGAAAGTTGTAACGCATTTCTATGTAATTACAAGTAAAATACAAGAAAAATACCTAACAATAATTTGTTTTATAATGTAAATGATGAAATGCATAAAATAATAAATCACATCGACTATAACAGTTTGAAATAATAATTACATTTATAACACAAATATTAAAGTACATAAAAATTAGTGTCCTACCTGAAAATAGATGACCAAGATGAAATTAATTTCTATGATGTTTTATTCTTGGTGTTCCAGCATAAAGTGACGCGCTGGGTACCCGACGTAGAAATTGACTTGGTCAAGGTGAGGGACACAAGGGGGATTAATTAGAAAAATATTGAGTAAACTGTTACATTTTCCTATCGAGGGCCTCATTAAAAAAAGATAGGTACAAAGGCGAGAGGACAAAGGCAGGTAATCCGATGGGCTGACACTAATTGAGTCGATCAATCCGACATCAAACGAACTTTTTAATTGAATTGCATAATACTGCGTAAAGGTATTTTTGGTAAATAATAGTAGATGTACTCATGACAGCCAAAAGGTGATAATATTTGAGAAACTTCTTAATTTTCTTACTGTTAGATACAAAGTTCAAATAGCCATTGTCTGTAATTAAATAGAAAATTGGGGAAAACATGTGACAGGAAAATGAGTGAACCAAATAAAGAAATTTGAAATGAGATAATAAAAATTAATGAATTGAATTTCAAAATAATTATAGAAATATTAAGAATAATAAAAATTTATCAGATAGGTCAATTTGACCTTATGATACATATACGGTAGCTGGACCCATGACCAAGGCAAAGCTTAACTTTTGCTGTCTTCCGTGCGATATTTATTTTCGTGAATACATTACAAAGAATGAAACCAAGACATAACCTAAATTCCCTCCATCTCCGAAGCAGTGAAAACATTCCTCCATACGTTGAAAATGTCTCCCATTCTTTATAGCGACTCCCTTGCGTTACCTGCTCCGGTGACTATATAATGAAGCTTTACGGATGTTCCATCTTTTCTGGCCCAGTGGTTATTGTTGAGATTTTTGAAAGATGCCTTTTTCACTAAATCTCAAGAACCTCCACTTGAAAGAGGGTGTGGACTTTTATTTGAACAAAATTAAATCCCTTTCACCCAAGGATGTTCTGTGCCAAGTTTTGTTAAAAATGGCCCAGTGGTTCTTGAGAAATTGAAATGTCAAAAGTTTACGGACAGACAAACACTGGACCAAAAAAAAAATTAAAACTGTTTTCATTAATTTGTTTTCATTTATTGGTACAATAGAAAGTATATCATATTACATATAGTATAGAAATGATGAAGACCAAAACACTGAATAAGACATACAAGTTCTCAAAATCTCTTAAAATTGTTTCTCTATAGCTATAAAAGTTATGACTTTTTTTACTGTTTACAAGCACCCCTTTTTGTTTATGCAATACATGTAATTCTACATTGTCATTAAATCTATCCAAAGTACTTGTATATGGTACTTGTTTCAATAGAAATACTTTTTCCTGTCAACAACAAACCAGTGTTAAAAATCTTAACAACATTAGCACTCACAGTCCAGCTGGTCTTCAGAATCAAGAATAGACAATAGAACATCAAAATCCAACCCCTTTCATAAGCTGCTGAACACATATAATACTAGCATTCACAGAAATCCCCAAACACAATAATTTCCTCAAAATATCTCGCTCAAAAACGTACAAACTGCATATAACACAGTTAACTCCTTTACAAAATATCTCACTCAAAAACATACAAACTGCATATATCACAGTTAACTTTTAAACATCTCACACAAAAACATACAAACTGCATATAATACCATACAGTCATACAGACATCTAACATAAATACATACAAACTGCATATATTACCCCACCTCTGTTGATTTTTCGATGAAATCCTGGCTTACGATTGGTTGAGGTCTGTCACGTGAAGGGGGTGTATTACTTATACCTAGTCACTTGAAAATCAATACATGATAGATACGGAGTTATCGTTCTTTTGTAACGTTCGAACAACTCGAGTTCACACGATTTGCCGAGCGTCTGTTGACAATGTTACAGTTAACTAATGTAAGTAAAGAAGATGGAACCTTTTTCTCCCTTTACTGAAAATCTTCAAAACTGTCAGTACGTTATTACAGCACGAAACACTCGCAAAACAACATTACGTCACACAACGTGACGTCATAATAGGCATTGTATGAGTGATGAAACATATATATAGTGAGAAAAACAATTTTACAAACCAAGACAATGCATAAATATTTTATCGGTGGGGTAAATTCGTTACATAGTTTTGTAGTGACAGGGTACGGGATGATACCTGGTTGGTAAATTCCATACCTGGCTCGGCTTCGCCTCGCCAGGTATGAAATTTACTAACCAGGTATCATCCCGTACCCTGTCACTAAAAAACTATAACTAATAATACCATACAGTCATACATCTAAATACATACAAACTGCATATAACACAGTAAACTTGTACAAATATCTCACATAAAACATACAAAGTGCACATAAGACATTTTTTTTATTTTGCCAAATTTGGTGACCTGATCAAATTTACAGAAAATAAAAAAAGCAAAATATTTCAGTTTTTCATCCAAGTACAGGTAATTGAATATAATTCAAACATAAAAATCAAAAATGAAGAATTTTGAATTTTATCTTTAAAAGGATCGGGTGTAAAAATCCACACAGAGCAGAAACCACATATTGTTTGGTAGAACTGACATTTTTTTGTTAAAAAAGATAACTGCAGGATTCTGAAATACCCAGTGCTCTTTATGTACATGAATTCCCTGGTTGGAAATCAAATGCTTTGTTCACTATGTCAAATGTCAATCACTCTTTGATGAACTAAATCATTTAGTGCTTAGAAAGCAGGTGATGTCAAACTTCTGACAAAATACATTGTTAACTATGCAATACACTTGTATTTTAGAACATATCTAAATCTTATGATGTTGTAGTTTAATTTTTCAGAATAAAAAAAAATACAACTGAAACATCTGCACTTAGATAGGCTAATGTATTGATGTTGAGGCAGTAAAACTGTTTACAATTGCAAAAAATGTTGTTTTTTTTTTATGGTATTATTAATGTAAATAACCATAAATAACCATGGCAACTGGTTCAAACAACCATTTCAGATGATCCTGATGTCATCAAACATTTTCATTACCGATAATTACTCTCTTACTGAAAAAAATATGTCATTTGTTTGATGAAACAAACAAATCTGGCAATGAAACAATTCCTTATAAATTCTTTATAAGATTTCTGAATAAAAAGTATCAAGGACTTTATCATAATCAAAAAATCTTTACAAATGACTCTCAAAAAGCTTATTTCTGATTAATATTGTCACATTATGCACTGAAATAAAATGATCAGTAGTCTGACTAGATTGTAGCTCTACTGGTCTGTTCTATAATAGAGGAAGATATAAATTGCACCTGAACTTGATAAACCCTTAGCTTTGCATTTACAAAATGATGTATCCTTATTTTAAGTTTTACCAAACTTTACTTAAGCTGTAGTAGGAGTAGCAGTTTGAAAGTCTTCCACAGATTACTCTATTTTTTTTTTTTATAAATAGCCAAGGCAACATCATTCACCAAAATCTTACCTAACAGATAATCAGAACTGTTTACCTCCATATAGGATACCTGTATAGCAAGTTTATTGAAAACAGACCAAACTATGATAAATAGTGTTTGGATAGAATTAAACAGAAATTTCTATTTTATATAACCATGGCAACAGCTTTTAATAAATTTAAAAACCATAAGATAGCATTATGTATCTTGATGTAGTCTACTCATGTACCATGTTTCATTTCCCATACCGGTAAAAAACTTGTTATTCACAAGAACTTTATTTTCACATAATTGAGCAGGACAATCTGCTTTCAGACATTCTCACATATATTTTTATTCATGTAGATTATGCAGAGCAATAACAAGAAATTGTGAAAATTTTGTCCCACTTAAAAATATCAAAAACCCATCTCATGGAAAATTGATATCTACATCAATTTTGTAAAATGTAAAGAGAAGTAGCATTTTGAGAGAATTTACAAATTATCCTACTTTTTGTAATCATGAAAACTCTAAAAAAAAATAAAAAACCTAAGAATTTTGTGTCCTGTTTCTTGCTATCATTGCTATATGATTTAACATAATTCTTTTGTTTCTTTGCTAACATGTAACAAAGAAACCCGCACAGACATCTGACTGGTTGTCATGATGTCATAATGGTATATCATACTTGTCATGTTTTGCCTTAACATTGTTCTACTTGACTGTAAGTGATCCACATAATGGATGACAGATGCTTTACCATTGCATAAGCTCTTCTAGTCTCTAACCAGTGGAGCTAAAAATCACCAATTAACTTTTTACGTTCAATATTCACTACATTATATGAGATGACAAGGATAAACAAAGTTCAAGAAATTCCCTAAATAACAAAGAACATTTAGTAACAATTTATGAAACCACATTAGACAATGGGTATTATGCTCTTGTGTGATTTATACAACAGAAACACATGCTTTTCTTTCAGTTCAATATTTAACATGTTTTATAGTTTATACCATCCCTTTCCTGAAAGGTGACAAAAATATCAAATTTTCTGAAAAATACATATACAAAACATCCAACCTTATTCAAAACAACAATAAAAAGCTAACTTTTTCTAGTACCATTTGAAATACAAAATAAATTAAAAATAACATATAAAACCAAATGTTTATAATTAAAACATATCCTCTCAATTTTTTTTGTCATAGTCAAATTGTAAAAATTATAAATTATCTCCCTTCCATAAGATAATTTTACAAATAAAATGTAAATTATTCGAATGTACAATGCTAAAAAGGTTTATTGAAATAAAGAGTGATTTCTAATTGCTTTTAAAAACATAATAATAACAACAAAATAAGTCATAATCATTTGAGAATAAACAAACTACCACATGTATTCTGGAATAGTGAACATTCACCAAGAATGTACACAACTAAATCAATGTTTAACAAATGCGTGAAAACAACATTCTTTTATAAAGTGATCCACAACATTATCACATATATGTACTGTAAAAATAGATCTCTGTCAAACAGATGTTAGAACACATCTCACTTGCCCCCCCCCCCCCCTCCAACTCAGTAAGGGGACAGCCACAATCTAAACTATGGTGGCATTTCCTCTCGGCTTGACTACTTATTCTGTGACATCTTGATTCTCTCTAACTTTGGTTTTTATTGGCAGTCTATGGCTTAGTATTTCACACAAACGAGTACTGGTTTTCCACTGCTCGGCCATGTGATCCCTGACCTTGGGCCTGCTCTCGCATGACATTTTCTAAGGATTCTGTCGTAGCCCTGACTGATCCACTAATGACCACCACCTCACGTCCATTTGGATCTACTTGGTTTGACACATTGCCAGGGCTCCTTCCTATGCTGGGATTAGAACCTAGAGCCCCACCCCTAGTCCGGGGGGATCCTCTTAACATCTGAGGTGTCCTTGGACGCTCCATGGCCACCACATAATCTGTGAGTGTTACATCTGAGGAGCCACCAGACTCTAAGGGAATAGGGTGGGTGCGGAAATGTTCTAACATGTCAAATATTGATTGAAACCATAAATGCTGAACTCGACACTGGCCATCATTGTTAATTGTCATCCGTAAATGCTGAGAAAAGAAGAATATACAGAGAATATCATAATAAAACATAGCATTTTGTTTCATATTAATCTCTAACACTTTAAGTAACATGACTCTTTATAAAAAAATTCCATTAAACCATATGTCAATCCATGTGGTATTTCAAACTTAATACTGAATGTGTACTTGAAAAAGTGGGCTTCATATTTTAACGGCTTTGGTGCAGATGCGCTAAATTAATGAATACTGCTAAAAAATCATTTATAAATACAATAACGGCACGGACATGTATAGCGCCAATTCATGATTTCACCAACAACTCCATACCCAGTGATTGCGCTAAATTTTGAATACGCCAATTTATGTACACATACAATATCTGTTATTATATTTTATTACTTTAACTCAGAATCAAGAGAACACTGTTACCTTTGCACGTCCTTGGAAGTTGAACGTTAAGACATACTCTCCCTTTCTGGTCTCACTCTGTCGCACGAGGAACACACCATGTCCAATATGACCTTGTTGAAGAACAAGATGTGCTGCCTCCAGACGTGAGAGGGTCCCATGAAACCATGGGTATTCCCTTAACATTTGTTCCACATGGGTCTCATCTCTCCCAGAGTCTGCAAAAATGTGAATCATATTTGATATTTTTTGGAAATATGAGCAAAGCCTTTTATAATTATAATGTCTTTACAACATTCAATATCTAGTGGTAACAAGTTTCAAAAACTCACACAGACCAGATCCAAAGAAAAAAATTTCAAAACCCAAAGTAACAGTACAACAGCTAATTTAAGGTTTTGTCCTCTTCCTCACAACAATGAAGTTACAACTGGGCAGAGTTAAGGAAAATATACTTAAGGGGTGAAGAAGTCTTACATGACCATTCTATCAAACCAAGATAAAGTCACATAAAACAGGTAATCACCTAACACAGTCCAAGCCTTGACTCCAGACCTTACTCATTTCGTTGGCTTTAAAGGGTCATGTATATTTGTGTAAATTAAAACACCTATATCATTTTTTAGAAATAATTTTACGTATGTATTCATTAATCAGTTATTACAGCTGTGTATATATTAATTATAAATATTCCTGAAGGCAATAGAAGATATGGGTATATAATTATATTGCCTATAATTTTTTATGATAATTTTTGCTTATAAACAAATCTGAAGACTGAAAAATATTTACTGAGATTAATCAAAGACCAAGATTTTATTCACTTCTTTTTTGCAATTGTAATCATAAAGTAATCAAGATTACAAGACTTTTTTTCATAGTATTTGATTACATTACAATTACTTGTAATCAGATAAATGCATGATTACTGATCACTCATGATTACACAGTAAACTGTAATTGATTACAGCTGATAACGATTACTGATTATGATTACCCCATCTCTGCCTTCACACATCGATGCTTTGAAGCAAGTTCAGCTCAAATTGGTTCTGTGGTATGTAAAAAGTGTACATCAAAACATCTAATACTATATGTGAAAGACAAATGCCACACACTTTTTGATCAGTAAAGATCATTTACAGCTCAGGTGAGCTAATAAACATTCATCCAATTTACATCTTAGCTAAAAATCACTAACCCAGTAAAGTGGACAATGATCAACAGTGCCTGTAATCTTTAAAGTTGCATAATGAGTCAAAACCATGTGTTTCTTTTAAAAAATTGTATCACAAAACAAAATATTTCTGTGAAATATGAATATAGTGAAGTTTTGACAACTCAACTGCACTGTAAAGCAAGAAAAAAAAAAGAAAAAAAATAAGTGCCGGAAAAACAAATGTTGTATCTATCGCTTTGTTTTTATCGTCAATGTCAACAATGTCAAGGTCACGCATCCTTTATTTTTAGCGTGAAACTTGTAAACAACATTGAATTGGGGCAAGCAGAAGTAAAGAATAAGTTATGATCATCTTTTTTGAAGATTGTATCAAAATTCTCAGTCATCCGACATTTATATCTACGGAATTGAAACTATGGTAAATTCTTCAACTTTTCAGTGCATGCGTACAATAAAGAGGAAGAAGTGAAGCAATATTTTTGTGATGGATTATACAAAGATTTTTTTTACTTTTATTTTTCTCCATTAAATAAGATTTTTTAGGTTCTGAAACCTGTAATTTTCTGAAACCTAATATCTTCAAGAACTAAACAAAATTTGCATGTGTCATGCAAAAATTCTACTGTTGTCAATTTTCCCGTTTGTCCGTCACAGTGTCACTTTAACATTTCAGATAAATCATGTACATTCCTTTTTATATAAGCTTCACACCCAAACTCAATCAATTGGTGCAATTCAAGATATTTTTTCTTCAAAAATCGACTTTTGATTATCCATCTGCTAATAACATTTTCGGATAGATCAACATATCAAGTTTGTATTCCCAAAGATTTTTCAAGTTAAGTTCATTGGTTAAGAAATTACGTCAATTTGAAATAAAGGTGTATTGTTGATCATTATTTGCTGAGAAACAAGCGTTATGTATCATATTATAGTTTTCCTTTAAGATTTTAGGATGAAATAATATAGATTGTAATAAATCCTCAATGTCAAAAGCAAATCAGTCTATTTACTTTCGTGATAAGTCAAAAAAGGTCAATTGTCATAATGTATTTTATGAATTGATGCAGTCAAATTGTCGTATTATATTTTTTTCCTCAAATGAATTTGACATATCTCTAAAATTTTATATTTCAAATATGCCTCAAGAAAAATCAAAACTGCCCAGCGCAAATAGGGGTTCTAAATGAATAGAGGATCCATTTATAGAAACGTTAAATAAAATGTTGTTCATGAATTGTGATCTTGTTCTTATTTACACTTTCAAATGCAACAACGTCCGTATGTAACGAATGTTTCATGAGAAGTAATATTTACTGTTTTTAAGATTAATTCCAACTACATGGACCAATTCATGAGATGTAATTTCTGCTCTACTTGTGCCATGGTATTGAAAATGTCAAAAGAAATCATAATTTGAACTGCATCATATATATCATCGTGTCATATTTTCCTTGAACTGTACTATAAGTACAAACGGATAAGAGATATATGTAAAATTGTCTGTATAGACGTTTTAACAGAACCTAAAATAATGTAAATAACAATTTTTCTGATGACTTTTAGCTTGAAATCATTTAACCATCAATGGAAACTTCTTTCGTATTTCAGCTTGGGTAAATGCCATAGTTCAACTAAAATAAAATGCTGAAACGTACGTTACATAACATAAAATGCGAGTTTAACAGTATCAAAATTATAAGAGAGAAACAAAAAACCCTGATGTAGATTCAGAATAGAAACTCAAGCCTTTGTTTAATCAATATCATATGATTCAATCTAAAAATGTCTTTCAAAATAATTTCAATAAATGTTTTTCTTCAGATTTAATGTGTGTGTTCAATAATGCGTCTCTATAATCAGTTTATATTAAAATTTATGCAACTTGAGCTTAAAATGATACAAATCAATCAATAAAGTTTACATTCGAACAATTAGTCATGAAAGAAAATCTGTAAATATTGTTGCAATTTTGATATATGATTTGTTAAAAATTTTGTAACATTCGTTACCGTTTCAACACCTTTCAAGACTAACAGAGGACATTCAGTTGTAGATTGATACTGGTTGCGTAGTTGTTGTCGGTCGTTATATAAATATTAACAGTTACATATTAATTCATTACATTTGATTCATTGTTATTGTATTCTAGAAAACAAACTCACCAACACTGTAGAAAAAAATCATAAAAAGGCAGTACCGTACTCCGGATGTCAAAATTTGAATACTGGCGCAAAATATTTGACTACGTATATATGCAGAAGATGTTTGAACTCATAAATCATTCCTTTTTCAGAGGTTTGGTAACGAATGTTTCGGTAACGGTTGTTTCATTTAATAATTTTCTCTTAAATAGTAAGCTAACAATAAGACATTGTTAAATAATGGTTGGAGCATGGAATACAGTTGTCGGATAGAAGAAAAAGTATCACATGTTTAACTATGATATCATTCTCTTTCATCTATTAAACTAATACAACGAATGTTTCATGCCTATCCATACGCATGTAAAATAGGAAGATAGAATGTAATTTCAGAGTATGGGTAACATATACAAGGCTTTGTACCATTTATTTTTAATTTTCAAGAAGTTTCCTTCCAAATAAAACGTATTCCAATCTTACAGGCATACAATAACTAATACTCATACTATATTTAATGTCACAGTCCGTTTTTATTTTGTTTCTGGCGACATGGGGATATCAGATCAAAGTTTGGTAATATATTTGTGATTATGCTCAATAATTTATTAAAAGCATTTTACAAATAAATGTTTTGAAGACATATGCTATCTAATTTAAAATTCAACTGTTATTTGTACAAAAAATAGCCATTTAAGTGTAATTATTCGATGTTGGCGACAGTAACGTACGTTTCAAAAAATCACTATATGCCAAATAAAATATCTCAATATGATTTGTTCACTTCATTTTTGTATTTTTGCCTTAAAGGTTGCATATTCATGCATTCATTCAAAAAGTATTTTCTTTGACATTTCATTATTTTTTTACGCTTAACCCCCAGCGACATCATTTGCACCATTTTATTGAGCTTCAGTGTTCAGCCTTATATTGGAAAGGGTGAGTTTTGATAAGGCTGTTTTTCGGCCCCTCAAGAAATATAATGAAATTGTGATATGTTGTAGATAAAAGTGTTATCTTCCTAAAAATATGAAAAAAATTTATACCGCACATTTTCTGGTCACGTGATAATTAAAAATTTAAGTATACCCTCTTCCCTAGATTTTTGGAGGCGTCATATTTAGAGGGGGTAATGGCGTTTATTCAACGTCAAAATCATAAGTGAAATATTACAAATGTGAATAAAGGCATCAAATAACCAATTTCAATATTTTTCTTTACAGAAAATTAATGATATTTATTTTATTTGAATGCGTTTTAAGGTGCAAGATTTTTCTGGTGTTTTAAGTGTAACTCTTCTTTCGAAGAGGATGAATGTAACATATAAAACGTATATGAAAAATAAAGACAGGAATTTTCAAAAAATGAATTAATCGACAGTTTATACTTAGACTTAATAATCAATATATAACATTTTCCCGTATAGAAAAGCAAATGTAAAGATATATATACAAGAGATAGATAAACGTAAACTGTCATTGACAGGTTTTCGACACTGTTTGCAACACATTTTTATCAACTAAAGTTATTGTGCTAATAATAGTATTAATAAAATGTACCGTAATATCATTAAATTGAATTTTAAAAAAATCTTGAAATTAACAGATTTCGGAATTCGGTACGATTAAAAAATGCAGCTATTTATATTTTTAAAGTATATTTAAAAGAATCATACTGCAATGTACATTGTATTTAATAATACCAAGCGTATTACTACCAGTCAAAATATTTTATCAAGATAGTAATTATTAGTCCCATACCGATGAAGCCGGAGGGGTCTATAGGTTTCCTCATCGTCTGTCCCTTGTCCATCCGTCCCTCTGTCTATCTGTCAGTCTGTTTCACTTAGTTTTTCGCACTTTTCTCTTAACACTTGCAGATATTGAGCTGGCTTTGG